GTTTAATGTCCATGTCACACCTATGCCGGTAGTTGTTGGGAGCACTAAGCTCGAAGTTGTTGACGAGTACGTTTACCTGGGACAAATAGTACATCTAGGTAAGTCCAACTTCGACTGAAAGGTCAATCGATGGATTCAACTCGGCTGGGCAGCGTTCAGGAAATTACGACACATCTGCTCGTCAGGTATACTTCAAACTCTGAAAACAAGATTGTAAAACCAGTGTGTGTTTCCAGTGATGACCTACGGAACCCAGACGTGGTCCTTCACTGCTGGCTATATGAGGACGCTCAAAGCCGCTCAGCGAGCTATGGAGAGGGCTATACTCGGAGTTTCTCTGCGTTATAAACTTAGAAATGAGGATTTCCGCAGTAGAACCAGTGTGATAAACATTGCCCAACCACAAAGAAGTTGGCTCGGAAGTATAACCGCTCAGATAAATTAATAAGTGCACTAAATTGCTCACTAATTGCTCAATTCCAATCCGCAATTGCTCACACTACTCATGAATTATTTTATTAGTTATTAGTAATTAAAAATACATAATTGTTTTTGCCTATTATACTCAAAACAAATGAACTATTCTAAAATTGAATAAGTACTCTTAATTGCTCACAAAATGCTTAATTCAAATCTGTAATTGCTCACACTATTAATTATTAATTTAATTCGAAATTAATAATTTAAAGTACAAAATTTTTTTCCATAACCGCCCACAATAATGAATAAGTGCACATCCCCAATTGCTCACAAAATGCCTGATTTAAACTCGCAATTGCTCAAACTAATATTTAATTATTTTATTAGTAATTAATAATTAAAAGTACAAAAATTTTGTTTAGCTGATCAGATTATTGAATAAGTGAACAAAATTGCTTACAAATTGCTCATTTCAAATCCGTATTTGCTCACACTACTAATGAATTATTTTATGTTATTAATAATTAAAAATTAAATATAGTTTTTGCTTTAAAACCGATAAACTTTTTTGAAAATGAATAAGTATTCTTAATTGCTCACAAAATGCCTAATTAAAATTCGTAATTGCTCACACTATTAAGGATATATTGAGGAATTGGTTTTGGAGGAATGCATGGCACTGGAAATGTCCTCATACTTTTCCTCCACCTCCTCATCGGGATGTGCCGAGTTAGGTGCGTAAACCTGTATGACCTTCAGCGAATACCGTTTGGTGATTCTGAGTATCAGGCGTCCCTCGTCGACACACTCCCAATCTTTACAACGTTGTTGACGAGAGACTTGTGGACGATAAATCCGATACCTCCTTGGGACAGATGGTCGCCCTCCCGGTGATAGAACAAGTTGCCGGACTCGAGGATTACCGTGTCCTCCTCCTCTCTTCGGACCTCGGATAATCCAATAATATGCCAGCGCAACTTGTCTACCTCTTCTTTCAGCTCCAGTATCTTCTCGTCAGTCCTCAGGGTGCGTGCGTTATATGTTGCCAGGTCGAGTCGTCGTAGGTGGCAACCGAACCTCCACCGGAGATTCTTAGCACCCCCTGGCCCGCCGTTACCATGGTCACCACCGTAGCCAAGAATAGCGGGGCCGCCGGGGACTGGGGGCCGTTTGTTTGTGTCGTTATTCATGGTGGAATATTTGCCATGGTTGCCACGCTCGGCGAGCGGGTTGGCAACCACAGTTTTTTTATAATATTACTGTTGTATCAGGAAGATGCTGCTGCCCATCTCCTGCCTGTCTCCCTCTGTCGCCTCTTACGACACTCACGGGAAGATATGGATATTCTTAACCGCCACTACAAGCCATTATTGTATTAGTAATTTATAATTAAAAGTACAACATTTTTTTAGCCGATCAGATTATTGAACAAAATTGCTCACAAATTGCTCATTTCAAAATCGTGATTGCTCACACTATTATTGAATTATTTAATTAGTAATTATTAATTGAAAGTACTTTTTTTACTTTACCATCAGATTTATGAATAAGTGCACGTAAATGATCACAATTTGCTTATTTCATATCCCTAATTACTGACTTCATTAATGAGTTATTTTATTAGTTATCAATTATTAAAAATTGATTGCTGGGTTGATTGTTGGGTAGATTGTTAGGTCGATTGTTGGGACGATTGTTGGGTCGATTGTTGGGACGATTGTTGGGTCGAGTGTTGGGTCGATTGTTGGGTTGATCGTTGGGTCGATTGTTGGGTCGATTATTGGGTTGATTGTTGGGTCGATTGTTGGGTCGATTGTTGAGTTGATTGTTGGGTCGATTGTTGGGTAGATTGTTGGGCGATTGTAGGTCGATTGTTGGGTCGATTGTTGGGTCGATTGTTGCGTCGATTGTTGGGTTGATTGTTAGGTCGATTGTTGGGTCGATTGTTGGGTCGATTGTGGAGCGATTGTTCGGTCGATTGTTGGGTCGATTGTTCGGTCGATTGTTGGGTCGATTGTTGGGTCGATTGTTGGGTCGATTGTTGGGGCGATTGTTGGGTCGATTTTTGGATTGATTTTTGGGTCGATTGTTGGGTCAGTTGTTTGGTTGGTTGTTGGGTTGATTGTTGGGTTAATTGTTGGGTTGATTGTTGGGTTGATTGTTGGGTTGACTGTTGGATTGGTTGTTGAGTTGGCTGTTGAGTTGGTTATTGAGTTGATTGTTGGGTCGATTGTTCGGTCAATTGTTGGGTTGATTGTTATTGGGTCAATTGTTGGAGCGATTCTTGGGGTCGATTGTTGGCTCGATTAACGGGTCATTTGTTTGTTTGATTGTTGGGTTGATTTTTGGGTTGACTGTTCGATCGGTTGTTGAGTTGGCTGTTGAGCTGAATGTCGGGTTGATTGTATAGGTCGATTGTTGGGTCGATTGTTGCGTCGATTGTTGGGTCGATTGTTGGGTCGATTGTTTGGTCGATTGTTGGGTCGATTGTTGGGTCAATTGTTGGGATTATTGGGTCGATTGTTGGGTCGATTGTTGAGTCGATTGTTGGGTCGATTGTTGTGTCGATTGTTTTGTCGATTGTTGTGTTGATTGTTGGGTCGATTGTTCGGTTGGCTTTTGGGTTGATTGTTGGGTTGATTGTGGGATGATTGTTGAGGTTGATTGTTGGGTTGATTTTCGGGTCGTTTGTTGGGTCGATTATTGGGTTGATTGTTGGGTCGATTGTTGAGTCGATTGTTGGGTTGAATGCTGGGTTGATTGATCCGCAATTGTTCACAATATTAATTTATTGTGATAAAAATTAAAAGTACACTATTTTGCCTTAGCCGATCAGATTATTGAATAAGTGCACAAAATTGCTCACAAATCGCTCATTTCAAATCCGTAATTGCCCACACTAATTAATCAACCATTTTATTAGTTATTAATAATTAAATATAGAAAATCGTGTTTAGTTTAAAACCAATGAAAAACATTTTCAAAAATGAATAAGTACTCTTGATTGGTCACAAAATGCCTAATTAAAATCCGAATTGCTCACACTATGTGTATTTATGTATTTATGTCTCAATTGCACAATTTATCAATTATTTTATTAGTTATTAATAATTAAAAATACAAAATGGTTTTTGCCTTAAAACCAATGATTTTTTCTAAACATCAATAAGTACTCTTAATTGCTCACAAAATGCCTAATTAAAACCCGCAATTGCTCAAACTAATAATTAATTATTTTATTAGTAATTAATTATTAAAAGTACAAAAATTTTGTTTAGATGATCAGATTATTTAAAAAGTGAACAAAATTGTTCACAAATTGCTCATTTCAAATCCATAATTGCTCACACTTTTAAAGAATTGTTTTATAAGTTGTTAATAATTAAAAATACAAAATAGTTTTTGCTTTAAAACCGATAAACTTTTTTGAAAATGAATAATTATTCTTGATTTCTCACAAAATGCTTAATTAAAATTCGCAATTGCTCACACTATTAATTTATGAATTATTTAATTAATAATTATTAATTGAAAGTACAATTTTTTTTCTTTACCAATCAGATTAATGAATAAGTGCACGTAAATGATTTTAAGAGCAATTAAGAGTACTTATTGAAGTTTAGAAAAAATCATTGGTTTTAAGGCAAAAACCATTTTGTATTTTTAATTATTAATAACTAATAAAATAATTGATAAATTGTGTGCGCAATTGCGGGTTTGAATAAAGCAATTAGTGAGCAATTATGTGCACTTATTCATTATTGTGGGCGGTTATGGAAAAAAAGTTTGTACTTTTAATCATTAATTACTAATTAAATAAATCATAAATAGTGTGAGCGATTGCAGATTTTAATTAAGCATTTTTTGAACAATCAAGAGTACTTATTCATTTTCAAAATAGTTCATTGTTTTTAAAGTAAAAACGATATTGTATATTTAATTATTAATAATTAATAAAATGATTGATTAATTAGTGTGAGCAATTACGGATTCGAAATGAGCGATTTGTGGGCACTTTTGTGCACTTATTCAATAATCTGATCGGCTAAGGAAAAATAGTGTACTTTTAAATTTTATCACAATATTAATACTAATTAAATAATTAAATAATATTGTGAGCAATTGCGGATCATTCAACCCAGCAATCAACCCAACAATCAACCCAACAATCAACCCAACAATCAACCGATAACCAACCCAACAATCGATTCAACAATCGACCCAACAAACGACCCAACAATCGACCCAACAATCAACCCAACAATATACCCATTAACCCAACAATCAACCCAAATATCAAAAAAAACCCCCCACAACAATCAACCCAAACACCAACTCAACAATCGACCAAATAATCGACCGAACAATCGACCCAACAATTGATCCAACAATCCCCAACAATCGAGCCAACAATCGACCCATCAATCAAGCCAACAATCGACCTATTAATCGACCGAACAATCGAAACAACAATCGATCCAACAATCGACCGAACAATCAACCCAATAATAAACCCAACAGCCAACCCAACAACCAATCCAACAGTCAACACAAAAATCAACCCAACAATCGACCCAACAATGGACCCAGCAATCGAGCCAACAATCGAGCCAACAGTAGAACCAAAAATCGAGCCAACAATTGAAACTACAATCGACTCAACAATCGACCCAACAATCGACCCAACAATCAACCAAACGATCGACCCAACGATCGACCCAACAATTGACGCAACAATCGACCCCGCAATCGACCCAACAATCGACCCAACAATCGACTCAACAATCGAACCAAAAATCGACCCAGAAATTGAGCCAACAATCGAGCCAACAATCGAACCAACAATTGAGCCAACAATCAAAACTACAATCGACTCAACAATCGACCTAACAATCGACCCAGTAATCGACCCAACAAACGATCCAACAATCGACCCAACAACCGACCCAACAATCGACCCAACAATCGATCCGACAATCGAACCAACAATCGACCCAACAATCAACTCAAAAGCCAACCCAACAATCAACCCAACAGTCAACCCAACAATCAACCCTACATTCAACCCAACAACCAACTCAAAAATCGACCCAACAATCGACCGAACAATCGACCCAACAATCGATCGAACAATCGACCTAACAATCGACCCACCCAACAATCGACCCAACGATCGACCCAACGATCGACCCAACAATTGACCCAACAATCGACCCAACAATACCAGTAATTGAGCCAACAATCGAGCCTACAATCGAACCAACAATCGAGCCAACAATCGAAACTACAATCGACTCAACAATCGATCCAACAATCGACCCAACAATGGAACCAACAATCGACCCAACAATCAAAATCAAAACTTAAAAGTTCTGTATGGCCTACATATAGTTGTTCCGGGTCTGAATGTTTGTCCTTGTGCAATTTATGTTTGTAAACTGCCCCCACGATACAAGAGAAAATCTTAATGTAGAGGTAACGTTTTTATAAAAAAAAAAACACAAAAATCCAACAATCAACCCAACAATCAACTCAAAAGCCAACCCAAAAAGCAATCCAACAGACAACCCAACAACCAACTCAATAATCGTCCCAACAATCGACCGCACAATCGACCCAACAATCGACCCAACAATCGACCAGCAATCAGACAACATCAACCAACAATCGGCCCCCCACCCCACCGCCACCCAAAAATCAATAATCAAAAATAACATCTAAGTTGCAAGCGGTGGGAAAAGAAGTGTCACTGTGACACTAAACAAAAGAAAGTAGAAAAACAATAATAATAATGGAAATCAATTGACTCTGTCTCAACACTATATTATTATGACAGTTTCTTATGGATTCATGTGGAAACCGCATTAAAAATCACTTCTACGTGGGAAAATGCAGAGACATAATTTTCTCAAACTTTTCGTGACTATATCTCAAAACTACATTTTTTGGATAGTGTCGTTATTATTCTCACAGTGCAATATGCTCCAACTAAAAACTCTTAAACACATCATAGTATCTCCAAACATTAAGGAAAGATTCCAAAGCGGTAATAATAAATTATTTAAACATTGTATAATTTTACCTATTTATACTCAATTTAAATATGGTTGCTCAAATAACAAATCTTTAATCAAAAACTTACTGAAAATATTGTACGTCCCGTATACACGCGAGCAGTCGCGCAAAATCGGTTTTACACTATCCGTTCTATAGTCAACCAAATCTAAGAAATACATTTTGACAGCTGTCAGACTTACTGCACCAAGCATGCCAATTAAAAATAGTGAACGTAAAATATTCGATTCTTAAAAAAATCGATATCGATTATTTAGAGTTGGTAATCATTTACAGTTTGGTTTGAATAATATCAGAATAAATTAAAAACGAATAATTTAAAACACAAGATTTATCAGTTTCTTCGTATTTGTTGTTACTGCTTATTTCTAGAGGCACAGATATAAAAATTTAAGATTGAAACTAGATTCAAAATAAATTTATTCAATCACTTTCAGTACAACTAGTAGGGATGTCGTTGTTAATATTAATTATTATTTTTGGGGTATCTGTATAGTTTTCTCATCTGGTTGGGATGTATAAATATATAATTATAAATTAAAATGAAAAGATAAATATACATAAATATCAATAAAATAAAATAAATACAAAAAATACACAAATAAATAAAGATCCAACCAGATTGAAGCCCTCGGCAGGGGAGACCAAACGGCCGAGGGTTAGGGGGAAAGGGAAAGAAACCGACGGACGATGCGGGCGGTATCGAGGACCACTGCCTTCTGCATTTGAGCCTGGAGCGGTACGTCACGGAGTCCCAGTCGCCTCAGCTGACCCGAGAGGCTGACTGGGATTAGCCCATTCGCAGAGACGACTACAGGAATAATTTCGGTCGGCCAACCACCCCACATGTCGGTGGGTTAATTATTATTATTATTAGATTTTCAATAATGCAGTCAAAATTAACGTCTCTTTCAAAGTTATCCATAATCCTTTGTAACATGGGCACGTGCTTCAACGATTTTTTTTAAAGCATTGGGTGACAAACGAGTGAGTGATGGTAAGTGGATGCTATGGCCCATAGGCATACACATTTATCCTCAATTAAGAATCATAATACAAATGCGTTGTCACCCCCGAGGACTAAGATGCAATGCCTTGATTCCAGTAATAAGGGTCTCTGGTTCTCTACGCTCACCATATGAAACACATCAGCATTACGTTGTTATTTTATGCTGGTATTCTTTGAGAGCGTGGTCATGCCTTGGTTGAGCCGATCCATTCGTGCTACAACTATAATATAGATGTAGCGTGGCTCTACTACTTACAAAAAAGTTATTATAGAAGAAACAGTCCAAAAAGTTAAAGCCGAGTCACAAAATGAGAAGACAAACACAACATCACAAAATTACGCACATTAAGCTCTCGAAACAGAAACTTTATTATTCAATATAGATTATGAATAATAATTATTGAAAGTCACTTTTCATTTACAACTGGTTCGCAAAAATTACCTCTGTCCTGGGAAGAACCAGCAAGAAACCCAACGGGACTAGTTTAAAAGAAATAGCTTACAATCCTACGTGTTACAATTAACAACACAAAACAAATTAGAAATAGCTTGGTAGCGATCTTGGTAACGATCTAATAGGTTATATGCATCAGCAAATCGTCTAAAAGTTACAAAAAGAGTTCTTAAACGACAACGACCTAGATACAAGTATTAATATATGATTAATTACGTAATTACAAGATTCTAATGTTTAAAAAAATAATGTTTTTGATATTATTTTTTATAAAATTTGACTTATGTATTTAATTAATTAATAAATTTGATGTAAAAATAGAAAGAAATTAATGACAATTGGATATGTAACATTATATAATTATTGACGTAAGAATAATAATTAATATATGACATTGACCAATAATAATAATCTTACTTGATATAATAATACTTAATTATATTATTTCTGACACTGTGGCATAATAAATTAATTATCAAATCAAGTAAATAATATTAAATAATTGTATATTTTGTTAAATTAATATATGTTGTTAAATTCGATAAGTATTGTTCTTTAGGTTACTTGACCATTAATATTTGCACACCACTAAGGTAGAATATGTAGAACGAATTATACTCTAACACCACTATACAACCATATTCTTGCAAAAATAAAGATTATTATTATTATTATTATTATCACCCTTCCCCGGGCTTATTATCATCCATAAATTCCTTAATATTAAAATAACCCTTTTTATACTATCTGAGTTGAATAAAGTTTTTGAACTATGTGCACTTATGTCAAATTTTGTATATTTTCTGGCATTTTGTTATAAAAGCGTATACATCGCCTCAAAAAAGAATTACTGATTCTGTAGAGTCGAATAACTGGTATCGAAATGGCGGGATATTGAAATTATGTAGTGGTTATTTTAGCACGGCCTTGTGTACGAGTTTTTTACCTACAAAAATTTACTTTGACAAAGTGAAAAAAATAAACTTGTTTTATTAATGATTCATGTAATTTAAATTAATGATTATGAATTAATGATTCGATTATAAGAATATTTTTACCGATTTTTTAATTATTTTGCCGATTATTCGCATAACAGTGAATTTTAATTATCCAAACACTACGGTAATATACATAGCGACATGTCATTGAAACAACTTCAAGTAAAAAAGTTAATACTGGTTATTTTTTAATATTTTGCTTTGTTTGAAAAATTTTAATTTAAATTAGTGATAAAAAAACTATACACGTTGTAATGAAATATAGATAACTTCATAATTCTTCAGATTTATGTAAAAGGTTATTTTAAATCGTGTGAGTACGCTTGTGCAAAGTTATTGCGGAATGATTAATGTTAAATGTCAAAAGGTATTTCTTAGATTTGTTTGACTATAATAACATCTAGGGCTAACGCTCAGCGTCTTATTTAGTTCCCCGATTAATAAGAAACTTACCCTCTAATTTACGTGAAGACTGGAGCACGTAAAATGTGCGCGACGTGTAGAACAAGTGTAATATCAAAATAATGTACAACTGTGTACAAAAAAACAATACTGTGTCGCAAGACACTACGTTTACGCAGACTGTGACTCATAGTGAGAGGTCGTCAATACAGATAAATACAATACTGCAACGGAAACAGATCCTGATCAATATATTATCTCAAGGACTTGATTAAAACTACTTTTACATATATTGTCTTGTTTAATTTTTTGATTTTTAATTCCCGACGTTTCCGGTGCTTTCCAGAACCCATTTTTTCTGAGGACTGGGTTGACTGACGTCCTGATGTCTGGGTTAACCCGGAGTACCTTCAGATTTTTAATTACATACATATACATGACAGCCGATACCCGTTTCATTGAGCTCCTCAATTAGAGCGTTAACGTAAAGGTTAAACAGCAGAGGAGAAGTCAGCCCACCCTGCCTAACCCCATTAGTCAGTACAAACTCGTCCGAAAGCGAGCCATCCCAGTTCACTACATTAATCTACGTATTAAACCAATTAATAAGGATTCTAATTATGTCGGAAGGAACACCCACCAGTTATAACTTATCCCACTGGATGGTATAGTTTACCCTATCGAAGGCGCGACTCAAGTCCAAAAAACAAGCGTATACTTTTGTTCTTCGTGACACGTAAAACGTTACTATTTGTTTTAAGGAAAAAATTGCCAACTCAGTAGAGCTACCTTTTTTAAAACCAAACTGAGCGTCACTTATAAAAATAAATTTCGATAAAATATCCAGAATAATAGACTCAAATAGTTTCGCACAGGTTGTATCGATTGAGATAGGCCTATAATTGGAACTGATCGTATCGCTAACGGTTTTACTTTTGACAATAGGGCTAACCACGCATTTTATTAGGTCAAGAGAGAACCAGAGCTGGGAGCCCCCGCCCCGATCCACCTTGATAAGTTTACTTTAGCATCCACATACGCTGATTTTACTACATCATTCCAGCCCGGCGTGCCTTTACGTTTACGCGATGTCACTCCATACCCTACTTGACTTACGTGACTTTTAATAGCGGATGTACGAAGACTTTCGATAAATTTCTTATAAATTCTAACGAGAAAACCTTTGTGTGAGTCGTAAGTACAGCCATTGCAACAAGAAATTAAGCGCAGATAGTCCCAATTAAATTCTGATAAGTTTAAACC